AAGTGAATTAAAAGGAAACATAAATGTTAAATACTTGGAGCCAAACACTGCCGCGCCCTTCTTTTTTATACAAGAAATCAGGAAAAGAAAGTGGGTGAGGCTCCTCTGCAGTAAAAATAAACAATAACAAAAAGAAAAGCTGGATTTTGCCTGAGTCACAGAGCAGGAATGTTAAATGGAGTGGGAGGCACGAGAAAGCAAATTAACAGTGTCATAAATAAAACAAGAAGATACTTGTGAATATGTTTGCTTGTATCTCAATGTTTTGGAAAGATTTTTTTATTTTATTTTATACTCGTCCTCCAGTGCGTGGCCAAAGACAGTTTAATTGAATTTTGAAGGGCAAGGTTAGTTGAGTGGGCGTTGTATGTCGTGAGCGATGATGACTGACATTTTTAATTTACCCAATTCAATATGGCCACCACAGCTAATTTTACGGTGGCCCTGAAGGGCATATCGCAACAACAAATCACTAAACACAACAACATTACAGAAAACACAACAACATTACAGAAAACATTACATTACAGAAAACACAACAACATTACAGAAAACACAACAACCTTACAGAAAACACATTACATTACAGAAAACACATTACATTACAGAAAACACAACTTTACAGAAAACACAACAACATTACAGAAAACACAACAACATTACAGAAAACACAACATTACAGAAAACACAACATTACAGCACACGGAAGAGGTAGGTACCAGTGAGACATAGCTGATTGAATGACGATCTTGTTTGACCCTTGAACCGGAAGTTATTCAGCCTGTAGCGCATTTTTGAAAATATGGATGTTATCTGTGATCCAAACATAGCGGCTGCTATCCAAGAGTATTTTGAGTCAGGATATACATACGAGGTGATACTGGAAATGCTCAAGAATATTCACGAAGTTTCGGTTAGTATGCTTACATTAAAGAAGCCTTTAAAAGAAGGTGGACTGTACAGAAGACTTAACTACTCTCCACTTCATGAGGTGTGGACCGCAGTGGATCCTTCCCCTGATTCAGAAACCTAAGTCTCCTCTGCTTTCCTGGTGTCCGTTTATTACAGCTCTTACGGTAACATGCTGTCTCTTCAGTCCCGCTGGTAAAGAGAAGCGAATACACTGCAGCAGCTGCTTATTGTTCAACACTACTCATATAAACCAAGACTCACCATATTTCAGACAATTTAATGAGTGGATCAAAACAATTTACACTTGGAATGCAAAGAAATATTCTGCTTCAGCAGCTTCTGAATCGGGAGGGATCCACCGCAATGAAATTAAAGTGTGTATCAACATTATCACAACGCTGTTTCACGTTTGTTGAACACTACTCATACAAACCAAGAGTCTCACCAACTTTCAGACAAATTTAATGAGTGGAGTAATGCCCTGAGACAATGTATGTTGTGACTTGGCACTGTATAAATTAACTGAACTGAAACTGAACTGAGTTTAAATTTGTCTGAAATATGGTGAGAGTCTTGGTTTATATGAGTAGTGTTGAAGAAAAGTGACAAAGCATTGTGAAAATGTTGATATACATACACTTTAATTTGCATATAAGCAGCTGCTGCAGTGTGCTTCTCTTTACCAGCGGGACTGAAGAGACAGCGAGTTACCGTAAGCGCTGTAATAAACGGGCACCAGGAAAGTGGGGGAGACTTAGGTCTCTGAATCAGGGCAAGGATCCACCGCAGTCCTCACCTCCTGAAGTGGAGAGTATTTAAGTCTTCAGTCCAGCTTCTTTTAAATGCTTCTTTAATGTACTGATACTAACCGAAACTTCATGAATATTCCTGAGCATTTCCAGTATCACCTCGTATGTATGTCCTGACTCAAAATATTGAAGACAAGCCCTGAACCGAGCACAGATGTTTGTTCTTCTTCCTGAGTCTCTCTGACATCAGACAAGCTGTTATTAACATAACTTCTCTGAACTTAATCAAATAAATACTTGGGTGAATTGTGTGGCTCTGATGAGCAGATGAAATGCAATCATGTTTAAAATGATTGAGCAGATGAGGGTCCCAGTTGCTGAAATGGACATGACGAAGAAGATTCAACAAATTGTTTAATTTGTTTCCTGATCAGAGTTTGTACTGATAACATTAAACTTTTATGTTGTACTAAACAACATGGAATCAATAATGCCGTGCGCCATGTTTTATGTCAGTCACAGCAGTAAAGTTAACTTGAAAGAACCTCTCTACTACTTTGGCCAGATCTTTTCTGTTTTTTTTCCAAAGACAAAGAGGAATTTTACACTTTTTTCAGCTCACTGCAGTCTTGAACATAAGCAGGCATGTTTAGACGCTTTAAATATCACAACTATTCATTGTGCGTACCTTAAGATTTTCCTTTGAGCTAAAAAATCATTTTTATAAGCATTCGACTTTTTAAAGGGCCAATATTATGTGTTTCTCAGGCATATATTTAAATACTATACCATAATAAAGTATCTATGTCACCTTTAGCTGTTATTAAAATGCTGTTTTCATGTTTAAATAGAAAATAAACTTATCTTCTCATCACTTCCTCTTCTAAATGCATTGAATTTGGCCTCTGTCTCTTTAAGAACCACCTTCCGCTTCTGTCACGCCCATTTCGGTGCGGGGGGGGGGGGGGGGTTCGCGCTTGCGCTGTGATGCAGTTTACTTGGCATCTGAAAATACATATCCTCAAAGGTGTTTTGAATCTGAAAAGAGCTTCACTGAGTGAGAAGTGGTGTTAAGAGCAGCAGATAGTTTAAGTTTCACTTTCAGTTTCACCAGTTGTTTGCTTTGTGACTGCCGAGAGCCTGCAGGAGTCATGGGCGGGTTGTGTGGGGTGTGGGGTGGGGAGGTGTGCTCCGTGATGAGGAAGCTCAGCTTGGAGACACATCCCAGAGGCGGAGATGGTCCCAAAAGGTGGTTCTAGTCCCAACCTGTCGTTTTTGCTCCTCTGACTGCTGCCTAAAAACGCTGCAGGATTTCTCAAAAATGCATGAATGAGTCAAAGCAAGGCTTTGGACATGTTTTTGATGAGAGGATAACATTATAACATGATATAAAACTCAAAAAAAGTTGATTTTACATGRCATAGTCCCTTTAATGATTTGTCACTCTTTATTATTACAAAAATGGTGGACAAAATAAAATAAGAAATTGTCTTTTGTCAGAACTTCCTGTACTTTCATCTGTGTGCATCTGTGGGAATAGGCGCACGTGTCCGAAACTAAAGTAATTGGCTAGTTTATTTTGTTTATTTGGCGGCTGCCCTAGTCAACTTATTGCATTTTACAGTGCACTAAACTGGAAGGTGCTCAGTGGACATTGCCATATTTCTGCCTTTTAATTCAAAACGTCACATGCAGCCATGAATTGTGTGTAATAATGAACTGTGTGTATAATGTGTGCAGGCTTAGCTGAAGAATGGATCAAGAGCACAAGGGGGACAGGGCGAAAGACCACTCTGGACAATTGTGACACACTACCCATTCAAACCCTTCAGCAGGAAGGTGCATTTGAAGGACACAAGGGTGGAAGTGCGAGGTTTGGGACCAGACCTAAAACTAAACAGAGACTTGATGTCTCTCTCATTGTTAAAGTAAATGCTAAAACTGATCACAAAGCATAAGAAATAACAGTCACAAAATGTCCTTCATAAGTATTTGTGGGACAGTGTTATCTGAACTTGTCTGGATTTTCCTAGCCTGGCCCTTGCCTTCCTACGCAGCTCCGCTCAATTCTAGTTTCCCTTCACTGCTCCGTCTGGGACTTCTCCCATCGACAAGGATTTCTTCAGGAGAATTTTGTTCAGGCCAATCAGAGAACAGAAGGTCGATTTTTTGCGCAGTGTCTGATTGTAGTTTATTTTACCTGGACCAATCAGCAAACAGAAGGYGGAGTTTTGAATGATGTCGATTTTCTGCGCGGTGTCTGCTAGTTATTTTAGCATACGGCAGTGGAGGAAGTGAATGAAGCCAGTCCGTGTTGATAAGACTTCCAAATTAAATTAAATTTGTCTGACAAAGCAGCAGCTCTCATTTACAGTCGTCTCGTTCAGCTCAGTGCTTCTCTCCTCTCAGTAGGGTTGTTTACAGCACACGCAATTTCTGGTTAGCTTCTTAGCTTAGCCTCCTTCACAGTGGAGCTGGCACACATACATCGCGGCCAACCAATCCAGTCATTTTAAACATCAGCAGAGGCCACGCCTCCAGCAAGAATTGCTTCTCTGTGGTCAAGAGTCCAGACCCTCGTACGAAGCAAAGTGAAGGACGAGGGTCTGGTTTTTACCAGGCGAGGATTTTCCTGCTCTGTGTGCTTTAATCGTTTTTATTGCTGCATGGGTGAATGTCTGACAACAGTGAGTGGGCGGAGCTGGTATCATCACCCAGCGCACCTGTGGCGTATCATCTGGATTGTTCTGAAATATAGTTAAGAGTGTTGAATCATGATTCTTTGTTGGTCTGCTGAAAGTAGCAGCAAAAGCTTCAACCAATGTAATGTGTAATGATATGGTTTGTTGTTCAGGAAAGACTTGACGTTTTTCTGTATGTTACTGATTTGGAACTAAACCCTGTGAAAATAAAAAAAATAATACTAATCACGATAGAACCTCTTCAAAATCTTGACTAGCCAGTAGCTCGTCAATTTGAACAGAATTAAAACACTTGTCCTAACTGATTATTATTTGGGAACTATCTAGAACAGGTAAGATATTGATTTTTTTTCATAAATTTTATACAGAACCTTCATAATGACCAAATCAGCCCAAACATTTTTTTATTAATGCAACTACTAATTATTCTTCACACAGAAATAAGCAGATTATTAAATGAAAGAGGAAAAATGAGCAGACAAAAGACAAAGTAGTTTTTGCTTGTGTTTATTTATTTATTTATTTATTTATTTATTTATTTATTTATTTATTTATTTATTTATTTATTTTGTCTGTGTTTTTTTGTGTGTGTTTGTGTTGCCTCACTCCATCTTCTTATTCTTTCTCCTCCAGTCAAAGCTGAACCTCCTCCTTCTCCTCCTCTTTCTCCTCCTTCGTGTTTGCAGACGTTTCCTCAGGCTTTTATTCGTCTCCTGATTATTTCTCTCTCCACTCTGTCACACCATCCCCCCGGCCCTCCCATCGCCTCTGAAAACAAAGTCTTTAAAGCTGCTTCACTCTGGACTTCAGCCTCACTTTCAAAAACATTTCTCACACAAGTTAGTCACCTGCCATCAGGCGCAGCTGAGGCCTGAATGTATTAAATGATGTGCTGTGTGTGTGTGCGTGCGTGCGTGCGTGCGTGCGTGTGTGTGTGTGTGTTTATGAAATGAGGGGGGCGTGACTAGAGGAATAAAATCCCCCCCCTCAGCCTGAAACATTCAGTCTTTTTCTTCTATGACACACAACAGGTGAGTCTGATCTTTAATCTCATGTTTTCTCCAGAGAGCTGAGGAAGAGGAAGAAGAGGAGGAAGGCTTTTAAAAATGTTAGCAAGTCAGATAATTTCAATTATATAGCTATTGTCATCAAAACTGAAAAAAGAATTAAAACCAAAGAACATTTAATGTTTTCTATAGCCTACATGTGCCTTTGTGTTCTATGTCATGCTGACCGTAGTTGCAATTTGATTTATTTTTGGCTTTTTTTTTCCTCATTGAAAATTAATACAGCAGTTCCTAAAACTCATCAAAATGTTTATAAATCTATAGTGCGCTTTACATTTTTTGTTTTTCTTCTTTGTGCTAATTTKAGCTTTTTTCTACTCATTCAGTTACAATTCTGCTCCTTTCTGCTATGTCCTGATGCATCTCAGTAATCCAGGTAAAAAATCAAAAAGAAAAAAAATTGTATAGGTCTTCTGGACGGGTTCTTCTCTAATGAAACGTTTCGTCTCTCCTCCAAGAGACTTCTTCAGTCTGAGAGTGAATTAGTTTTGTTGTGTTAGTGAAATGTCTC